GGGGGAGAGGGGGAGAGATTTGTCTGGGACAAGCAGCTTTTGTACAGGGAGACAGACAAGCAGATTGAGGGGTCAGACCCAATAGTGACGAGGCAGCTAGTGGTGCCGCAGCGGTACCGAGCAGAGCTACTCCGGATAGCGCACGATATCCCGCTATCCGGACATCTAGGGGTCAGCCGTACTAGGTATCGACTGACCCAAAATTTCTTCTGGCCAGGGATCAGCCAGGAAGTGCGCCGGTATTGCACCACCTGCGACACCTGCCAGAGGGTAGGGAAAAGGGGAGACCGGAGGAAGGCGAAGCTACACCCCTTGCCAATAATTGAGGAACCGTTTAGCAGAATAGCGGTAGACTTGATAGGTCCCCTCAAGAAAGCCAGCCCGTCAGGCAAAAGGTACATTTTAACGGTAGTAGACTATGCTACCAGATATCCAGAGGCGGTGGCTCTGACCAACATTCAGGCTGAAACGGTCGCGGATGCCCTCATGCAGATATTCTCCCGGTTGGGATTACCCAGGGAGATTATCTCGGATCAGGGTACCCAATTTACCGCAGAATTCACCCAACACCTCTGGAGGATCTGTGGCATTAAGCCTATTATCAGTGCCCCTTACCACCCCCAGACTAATGGGCTCTGCGAACGGTTCAATGGCACATTGAAACAAATGCTCCGAACCTTCGCAGAGACCCACAAGGACTGGGAGCGGTTCCTGCCGCATCTCCTATTCGCTTACCGGGAGGTGCCGCAGGAATCCACGGGGTTTTCCCCGTTTGAACTGCTGTTTGGGAGGAGGGTCAGAGGCCCCTTAGATCTTATAAGAGAGCATTGGGAGGGAGACCGGAGCGCAGATGGCACCCCCATCATACCTTATGTGTTGGCTCTCCGAGACCGCCTGGAAGCCTTAACCAGGACGGTAAGGGAAAACCTTCAGGCGGCACAGACTCGCCAGCGCACATGGTATGATCGGGGAGCCAGGGACCGTAGCTTTCAGGTCGGGCAGAAAGTGCTGATTTTAAAGCCTGTCCGACATGACAAGCTACAGGCCGCCTGGCAGGGACCTTATAGGGTGGTGGAACAGAGATGTGACACCACCTATATAATTGGCTCCTGTACAGGGGCGGGAGGGCGACGCATGCTCCATGTGAACATGATGAAGCCCTACCAAGCACGCTCCGAGGAGGTAACCGCCATATGCGCGCCCAATTCAGATGAGTCTGACAGCTTACCACTCCCAGATCTGCTGGAAGATGGGCAGATGTCTGGGGATTTAGGGGAAGTCACACTGGGAGACCGGCTGAGCCCACAGGAGCGCATCGAGGTACGGCAGCTGTTGGAAGAGAAACGAGACACGTTCTCCAACGTACCTGGGTACACCCCTCTGGCCACTCACCGGGTAGAGACCCCAGGGCAACTACCCATGCGCCAGACCCCCTACCGCATCCCGGAAGCGGTAAGGGAAAACATGCGCAAGGAGATCGATGAGATGCTCCAACTGGGGGTGATTGAACCCTCAGTCCCTGGGCTTCTCCGGTAGTGCTCGTACCGAAGCGGGACGGTACGACCCGCTTCTGCGTAGACTACCGGAGATTAAACGAGAAAACTGTGTCCGATGCATACCCTATGCCACGGATAGATGAGCTACTGGACAGAATGGCCAGGGGTCAATACCTCACTACCATTGACTTATGTAAGGGGTATTGGCAAATCCCCCTGGCCCCAGAGGCCATCCCGAAATCGACCTTTGTCACCCCATTTGGCTTATACCAGTTTAAGGTCATGCCATTTGGGATGAAAAACGCCCCAGCTACTTTCCAGCGGATGGTAGACCGACTCCTGGATGGGTTCCAAGACTACACCTGTGCCTACCTGGACGATATTGCCATTTTTAGCAATACGTGGCAGGAGCACTTGGCCCATATAGGAGCGGTTCTAGACAGGATTAAGGAAGCTGGTTTGACATTGAAACCAGCCAAGTGCAGCATAGGGATGGCCGAGGTGCAGTACCTCGGACATAGGGTGGGTTGCGGCAAACAGAAGCCCGAACCTGCCAAGGTAGAAGCCGTGGCCCAGTGGCCCACTCCTAGGACTAAAACCCAGGTGTTAGCCTTTCTAGGGACTGCTGGGTATTACAGGAAGTTTGTCCCTAACTATAGCGCCCTCGCCAAACCTCTCACTGACCTTACTCGGAAGAATTTGCCCCGCCAGGTGACCTGGACCCCGGAGTGTGAGCAGGCATTCCAACATCTGAAAAATGCACTGATAAATGCCCCTGTCTTGGCAGCTCCCAATCCAACTAAACGTTTTCTTGTTCACACAGACGCTTCTATGTTTGGATTGGGGGAAGTACTGAGCCAAGTCGGGGCCGATGGCGGAGAACATCCCGTGGCTTACATCAGTCGCAAGTTACTACCCCGCGAAGTAAGCTATGCCGCCACCGAGAAGGAATGCCTGGCTGTGGTGTGGGCCCTAAAGAAACTGCAGCCGTATTTGTATGGACAGCCCTTTTCATTGCTCACGGATCACAACCCGTTGGTATAGCTGAACCGGGTGGCTGGGGACAATGCCAGGCTGCTGCGCTGGAGCTTGGCGCTGCAGCCCTTTGACTTTAATATTCAGTACCGCCCGGGTAAACAGAATGGAAATGCTGACGGTTTGTCGAGACAAACCGACCTGGAGAAATGATCCGTGAGCCTCCCCGGACATCCCCAAGCCGATCCGTGTTGGATCAGACTGTGTATGCCGGCTTGTGGGCAAGGGGGAGCAGTGTAGCGGATGGCACTGGGTTGTCCTGGGAATTGTATTGGTTTTGACTGCATTCGTGTAAATGGCAAAGTTATATGTGTTAAATGTATTGTGTTCGTCTGATTGTTCGGTAGTTTCATTCCCTTAGTTTGTTCGAATGAAACTACCGACCAGTCAGACCTCCCCTGTGTGAAGTGTGCCTTCAATTACCTGTTGCAACATTGTTGCGAATGGGTAATTGACAAGCTAAGTAGCAGTCCTTTGTTCTCGGGGATGGCCGCCATTCGGGAAACGAACACGTGGTGGCAGCCATTTTAAAACTCCCGAACAGCGGTGTTTTGCCGTCGAGTGTCTGGAACTAAAATCGGACACTCGAGTAGGCGAACACCGCTGAGACCTCCACAGCCCTGGTCCGTTCGGTTCCAAACTACCGAACGGCCCCTCGTTCGGTAGATAGAGAATACCGAACGAGGGGATTCAGGCGAACCCTCCCTAGCCTCTACAGCTAGAGGTTTTTGTGTATTTTATTCCCCTATGCCAGGACCGACCGCAGGGCCCATTCACATGGAACCGAATTCGGCTATCTCAGTTCGTGCGGTCGGTCATTTTATTCCCTCCATACTTTTCCCGAACCCCTGGTCTGATCTGGGTGGTTTTTGGATATGTTGTTCACCCAGATCAGGGCTACCGGGGGATGTAGGATTTAAAGAGGTACCCCTACGTTTAGGGGTACATCCAGAAACGGGGGGAATTGGTGTACTGGATAAGGGGATTATGATGCTGGCTGAGGGGAGGAGATGTGGGGGAGGTTACCAGGACAGGATTGGCTACTGTAATAATTACTGTAATCCCTCCCTTGCATGGGAGCATGCTTTATAAGGAGACTGTGATTAAAGGCTTGTCAGTTCTGCTCCTGAAACTGTGTGTCGTCCAGTTATTGGGATTGCTGTGGGGAGGTTGCTGTTATTTTACCTGCTGGAAACTTTGCCTATGGATTTATTATTTACTTGTTCCTGAGCCTCACTTGGATTATAAGCGGAGACAACCTGGGGAATATTGCATCTCCGCTACACTATAGTCACCAGAACAACTACAGCTTAATGTATTTGTTCTGGTGAGTATAATCATTACATGAAAATGCCTGAAGGCAAACATTGCCCCTAGGGACACCTCCAAGATGGCTGGCACCCCACCATATTAAAACTTCAGCCGCCACTGTTACTGGTCCTTGTTCCTGAAATGGTGGTTCATACATGTCTGCATCTTTTGCTAATCCATTTTGTAGTGAATTACCGTAAATTGCTAAATGCATGGCAAAGAAAGCATTGAAGGAATAAGTCCTGTAAGGTTTTTAGTTCAGCTTTGAAAGTAAAATAGGTAAAAATGTTTGTACCTATAGCCATACTTAGAATTGTCTTATGAGGTTATTGAAGTGTTAGCTCATTAAAGTCTGCAGTTTCCATGTAGCAACTCTCCATACAAACGTGTTCCTGACACTTTAGTTCTGAAATGGCTGTTTAGGTTACCAGCCCCCTCTCTGTCCAGTAAAAAAGTGATTTTGCTCCTTTTCTCTCCCACCTGACTCCTCGGCTGAGCTCCTCAATCTTGATGATCTCAGCCAATCCAATGCTTTCATATAGGAAAGCATTGGGAGGCTAATGCGCATGCGCGGCACCGTGTCCACTGCGCCAATCAGCATCTCCTCATAGATATGCTTTGAATCAATGCATCTCTATGGGGAGCTTTCAGCGTCTCCATGCAAAGCGTGGCACGCTGACACAGGAAGCAACGCTAGTGGTGGTCTGACTGCCGGTAGAGGTTTTACTAGTGAGCAATGTAAACATGGCCTTTTCTCTGAAAAGCCTGCAGGGACAGGCTGTATACACCAGAACCACTACATTAAGCTGTAGTCGTTCTGGTGACTGTAGTGTCCCGTTAACTTGTAATTGCATCAATGTATTCATGTACTACATACCAGAGTCTGTAACAGTTTGCTAGTTCCGTTATTTCATTTTAACCAAATATGTTTTTACTATACATAATATATAATTATCTTGCTGACTTCCACGTTTTATAGCTAAAACGTTTAGTTTCTGTCTGCAACCTTATATGGCAGGTCTGTTTGTAAACCTAAATTAATTTTGTTTTCTGAGTTTTGTCCCTAGTGTCTGACTGTGAAAAATACAAATAAATCTAGACTTCTAAATACATATGTTGTAATTTACTGTTTCTGCATCTTCTTTTTTTTTTTTTTTTAGTCGGCTGAAGAAAGAAGGGGACAAGCAATTGTAACTTTGAGGTGACATGGACTCCTTCCCCCCCCTCCAGCTCTCTTTTAGAGAGTCAGGCTCCATACAACGGGTCCCCAGAGGTTGCAAGACTCCTCTATATAAGACTAGCCACATACTTTCCTTCATCTGTAAAGAAGACTCCTCAAATCAGCCTGGCACCCCCTGCATGACACTTTCTTCCCTAGCCTTGGGAGGGAGCAGGTTTGGAGGGAGATGGGGGCAGTTTCGGACACTACAACAGATTCTTACTCTTCGAGAACACCTCATCCACTAGAGGTGCTAATACCCATACACTCACTGTGTGCAATTGAAGCCAGAGACATGGTTACAAAGAACCAACGCGCTCCGCCAGCACATAAGGGTTTCTTGTGCTGTGCTACAGATTAATCCTTTATTTTATTACATCGACAGGAGAACCCCATCATTGTACAAAGTTGCACTGGTCTGCCCGCAGTCTGTAAAAACATAAATAAGCAAGGACTAGAGGAAAGCTCTCTGCTAAAAGTACCTTTCTATTCCTGTCCCTGCACTGCAGTTACTACCTGTGAATTCGAACCTGCAAGAGACGGGTTTCTGTTGACCTCTTCTCTGCCAGTAGGACCTAAAGCTATTATCTCATGGCAGCAAAGTGGTCACAACTCAATGTACCCACAAATACACCCAACTATTACCAAGAATTTGTTGGTAAAACAAAAACCTTGTTTTATTATTTTCTCACCCATTTTCATTTTTTTCACCCTTTTGGTCTCTTGTACAATGTGTTCCGTTCTAAGTCCGAACAGCATTGCCCCTTTTTCAAATATTATTCTAAACAACACATCCATTTTATAACACAGATTCAGATCCTGGACAATTTGTGAAAAGTTATTTTTATTTTTTTTGTCCGAAAATTCTCCTTAAAAGTTTGTGTCTCAATTGTAGATAGGGGCTACAGCGTTTTAAGTTGTAGAGGTAAAACGCACACGGGCTTGTGCGAATCTTCACTTTATAGCGTTAAAGTTTCTGCAGGGTTAGAACTTTTATTATTTAATTTATAAGGAAAAAATCCTCCTATATTTTAGTGTTTCAGTCCTGCTATACTTAATGCCAAGGGTTTTATTTGTACAGATTCTATTAAACCTGGGCTCTTATTTTTTTATTTCATGTGGGTTTTTTTTTTTTTTTTTCAGATTTATTTAATTTTTCACCCTGCATCGTTACCAATATTACAGCAGCAGGCCTTTAATCTAAAGAAAGGTACAGGACTGTGCAGATTAGAACCATGAAGGCACACTTAGTAACTGCTTAATCCTTGTGTGATCTCTAAAGGGCAGGCGGGGGCTGCTAAATTCTACCCTACATGCCGTTCCCAATACCACAAAACTGTTTCATACATTTGTCCAGAAATCGTTCAAGCAGTCTCCTAGCAACTCCCTGCCACTCTGACTGTTATATCTGGCCCTCAGCGTCTCAGGGCTGTGCCAGACAGTGATGGATAAATGCTGATAGCAAGCACCCCTTCACTCTGCCAATAATCTCCTGGCACCATCTTTCACACATACACTTGGCTATTGACAGATATCAAAGAAAGGAAACCATGATTGTTGCATTGCACCAGCCATAGCACCACTAGGATACCTTTTCCTATTTGCACAAGACGGTGCTAAGTCATAATTTGTAATATTCCACTGCAGAGACTCTCTCTAACCCCCCTCCCTCCTGAGATAAGTACTGTTTTATTATACACAGTTTGATAAAGTGTCTGGTCGGATGGGTCACATGCATTCGAACATGTACCCATGTAGAGCTGAGTTGTCCAGCCTTGGCCCTCATGCTGTATTTAGAGGTTATCTCTCTATGCTCTCTGCGAGTCACTGATTGGGAAATGTAGTCAGACCCTGACACAGAGAAGTGTGACAACCCACAGCCACCTTCATTAGTAAATCATTGGAGCCATTAACAGTCGCTGCAATATTTCCCAATATCATTCTATAATATCCCGTCCTGATAGCTGACAATACAGTATTCTAGTTTTGTATAACACTAAATGAAGGTTATCTGCAGATCTAAGTGTATGAAGCTCCCAAGCCTCCTTCTAAATATATACATATAATATTCCCGTTTACCTCAAAATCTGAGTGCTGGGGTGCTTCGCCACTTTATCCACACTGACTTGTGTGTATTCATTGTTGGAGAGGCCTGCTGTAATTATTTTTATTTTTTCAGACCTCCCTGTCTTGGAAAGTTAACACTTTATCTGCCAGTAAGGGGCTGCATCTTTACCTCTGCAGGTTCTGCTGGCAGGAAAAATGTTACGTGGACCGTTTGCATTCACTTTCATTTTTGTTCTTTCTGCACACTTTTTCTTCTTTCCTTTTTTGTAATTTCCGACGTACCTCGTTCAGTGTGTTTAAAAACTGTAAGGCTACTTGTTTCATGGCGCCATTTAGCAGAATGTAAATTCCAACTGCTCCATTTCTATATATATCTTGAAGATTTTAATGTATATAGGAGTAGTTTGCCATGGGGGTAGAAACCCAGAAATTCGTGACTTCTGTGTTTTCTCCATTTTGAGTATTTTGTAATTTTTTTGGAAATATTTGTGGACATAAACAAATAAAGCAAACTACACCACAATTCTCATCCCGCAATCCTCTTTACTACACTATGCTGAATTGGTTGTATGGAGCAAATATATCTCCAAACAGATTTGTTTTATGTTGTGATGTATTATTGCACAAATGACTTTTTGTGAAAAGAATTGCATTTCTAGTGTAAAGGCACATTCTTGGGTAAGTGTGTAGACAGTATCTAAATTCTCTGGGACCTTTAAAGAGACACTATAGCCATCAAAACAACTTTAGTTTAATGAAGCAGTTTTGGTGTATCAATCGTGCAGTCTCACAGCTCAATTTTCTGCCATTTAGGTGTTAAATCACATTGTTCATACTGCATGTGAACCCTCCTGTGCGTGATTGAAGTTCAATTTACAGAGCAGGAGCTAAGAATTCTTAAGAGAGTTAAAATCTGATTGAAAGTTGGCCTGGACACCGAAGGAAGCAGACACATGGCGGCTGAGCTCCCGCTGTATATCCCACAGATATAAACCACAAGGCGTTTAACAATCTGATCTCGACAGGTACCAAGCCCAACACCACTACCAGCAATGGGGAAGCTGAAAACTCTGAACCGGGAAGGCTCCTGCACTATTGGTGACCTCCTGCAACAGAGGCCTAGACCTAAAATGGCAGCGCCAGTCGTCTCCCCTTACTCCTCAGAGGATGAAATCATTGATGCCCCTGACAAAATCCCCTGCACAGTGGGTCACATATCCACACCACTAACAGGATTTATCAGACTTAGCCACAAAAGGAGACATAAAGGCATTCATGAATAATATAGTGGGGGGCAACTGAAGAACACCTCTCTACCATGGCCCATCAACAGGAAAACATCAAATAGCACCCACAGAGCGATGCAGGTCAAATTGGACACCCTAGAAGATGCAACAACCATGGGCGTCCGCAGGAATTTTTCCAGGGGGGGGCATAATTGTAATGACATCCATGCTTGGTACCTTTTTGACAGTGTCATGAAAGGGAAGGGGCATAGCTATTATCACATAAAGCCAGGGTGAATAGCGTTTTCACAACTATGGTGTCAGGAATATAGGTTTGTATTCCTGACACTATAGTGTTCCTTTAAGCAAATTAAAGGACATTTATGGTCACCATAACAACTTCACCTAAATGAAAATGCTATGATGCCAGGAAGCGGCTGGGTGCTCGCTTTCCTTTAAGGGGTTAAATCGCTCTCAAATGGTTTAACCCCAAAGGCTTCCTCCAGCTCCAGGTCGCTCAGTGGTATCTGGCTTCTGAAACAGAGTGTCAGGAAGTGCAGATTGACGTCAAGCATGGGTGCCGCTGATTGGCTAGAGTGGTCAGTTGACGCTCTAAGCCAATCGCTAGTTCCCGGTTCATAAAATATTTTTACTTTTTTATGAATGGGGAGCTACTGATTGGCTTAGAGTGCCAGCTGACCGCTCTAGCCAGTCAGCGACACCCCTACCCAACGGCACTCTGTGCTTCCTGACAATCAGTAAATAAAAGTGAACACATTAATACTGATATTTTTTTACCTTTGGAGATGAGAAGGTCCAGCGTTTCCCTGTCTGGCCCAGGTACCAAAGCCTTATGATGTGGTGTCCAGAATAAAGTGGAGGGTTCACTTCACTTGTCCTTCCTGCTCCAATCTCCTTTTCCTTTCCTTCATTTGACAGTCTTTTTTTTTCTTCTGACACTGTTTTCTATCCTTGGCCCCTTCTGCTCTTTTACCTTTCTGCTACTTTCTGCTTATTTTGCGCCCTTCTGCTCCTTTCTCATTCTGATCCCTTTCTGCTCCCTTTTCTACTTTACCTTTGTGCTCCTTGCTGTCCATTTCTGCTCTTTCTCCTACTTTACCTTTGTGCTCCTTCTGATTATTTCTGCTCCTT